CATGGCCAGAGATTACGAGCACTAACCTTCCTGGCAGGAGTTGGTGTGGCTTTGCTTTTTATGCAGATTAGCCATGTGCTTTCTCACTTCAAGGCGTTCCACAGGAAAAGACGTTTCCTGTGTTTGGTTCTGGGTGGGCGGCTCCGGCTCCAGTGCCGGCCGGGGCTGAGCCGGGCTCGGGAGAGAGGGATTACGGCACGTGGCCCCCCCTTCCCCTTCCACCTCCACTGCTACGTCACCACAACACAACCACACGCGCGCTCATACTGTTGGTGTCATTCATTCAGTGCCAAGATTGCTTTAAAAAATTCCCTTGGCCCCAGTTCAAACAGGAGTACAGCTGGGATGTGTTAGATTTTAGGCAGTCTGCCCTCAATTTGAGATGAGTTATAAATAGCAGTGCCGACTTCCTTAACTACCACTCTCCGAGGTAAAATGCAGGTTAATGACTGTGGGAATCAATTAGGGCTTCTCTCGGTTAAACAGCCAGGAATGCTCTTTATTATTTTTTTATCACAAAAAACGGACAACGGAGCTGGTCAGGAGAAGGTTTAAGAGCCAAGGTGAGGGCTTGGGGCTTTTCTCTTATTTTTTTGGCATTCTTATTTTTTCAGGGGGCAGACGAGGAAACCAGTTGTGGCCAGCACCCCACATTTGCCAATAGTTGAATGATGCTGATTTGAAACTGGAGAGTTCAGTAAATGACTCTCCTTCCTTTTCTTCCTCTGGCCTAATAAAATAGAAATACGTAATAAGGTAACTGGGAAGGTCAGAATTCCATTTTTCTGTACAGCTGTGGAGGGTTTGGCTCTTGCTTCTGAAGCGGGATTTGCCTCTTCCCTTTACTCATTTTCCTGCTGGGACCAATAGCAAGTCCCCTCCAATTTAACCAAACTACTCGTTCAAGAGGCCAAATTTCTCTTCTACCAGACAGAATCTCAAAAGAACTATTGTGGAATCCTCTTGTCTGCTTAAAGCTTTTCTTTTCTTCTTTGTTTTTTAAGGAAAATGCTGGTGTTGTTTGGAAGAAGAGCTGATTTCCCTGTGCTGCTTCACTTTAGGGGTCTGACACCCTTCACATCACACGTAGTGATTTGAAGAGCTTTTGAACTCGGCAATTTAAGCTCACTCTGGGCTTGCTGTTACAAACTCTTTAGCCTAGAAATATCTAAAATTTTCCCAAAAGCTCAGCAGTTTCCCTGGAGCACCAGCGTTCGGTCGCTCTCATTACACACAGAACCACCCAGCTCTCCTTTGGGAAGTTTGACTGGTGGCAGGACAATATTTTGCCAGGTTTTGGTACTTGACAGTGTTACACAACAGCAGAGATAGCGGGATTGAGGGAGAATAGAAGCAATTTCTATGAATGCAGGGAGGTGTAAGCAGGGGGTCTGGACTTCAGTGATCAAGGAGCAACACTTTTCTCTCAATTATGTCTCTCTGTGGCAGGGCCTTTGCTTTTGAAGTGTAATCACAGTAATCTACTCCTGTGGTTTCCTATTGAAAGGATTTCCCACGTATCAGTCCAGAGAAGAATTTCCAGCCTTTTGCAGTCGGAGTTTGGTATTTCCTTATTAATCCTGAAGTGTTCTTGCAGGCATCGCTTCCTCTCGGCCCAGCTCGTGTGACACGGGCATACAAAGGGGCTGTGCAGCACCTCTGCTCCTCCCAGCACCTTCACAGGAGCTCTTGGATCAATCCCCACATCCCTGCGTTTCAACCTTTTTCTTTTCATGAGGCGCACGTAGTTAAACTACCTAAAAGGATTGAGGTAGCAGATTCAAGGAGGCTTCCTGATGGTTGGCTCTTTGAGCCAGAGCAACAATACCAAGTGGAGAGCAGTTAAAGCCCCGTCAGCAAGACGGAGATGTGGGATATTTTGAATTAGTGGGATATTTTGAGGGAGGAAACAACACGTGGCAGCGTTTGAGATGCAGCCCCGGGGAGCCTGTTGGCTTGCAGGAGCGTGTGTATGAAATAGTTCCTTCATTAGAGATTAATTGGCGTTTACATTTCTTCTGTTGATAGAATTTTATCTTTAAGGCTGCAGTTTAGATACTCTTCGTGTTTGTTTTTAGCATCTTCTCTGTGCTGGGGCCTGGTGGAAGGGTGGCAGTTTGAGGCACTGTCGTGTCCTCCTACGCTGAGCAATCAAGGTGACGACTTGGTCACATCCTGGAAATATCTTTGGGGTTTGTGTTTTGGGTTTTTTTTCTTCCCTCTCTTCTTCTTCTTTTTTTTTTTTTTTTTTTAATGGCTGCATAAAGTTCCAAAAGTTTCTTGGGAGTTTTTTAGCATTCGTCATGCTTCCTGTAGGAGTCATGAAAAAGTGAATCCTCACCTTGTTTCTCTCTTTCCTGAAGAGAGGGTTACTGTTGTGGGTGACCACAGGCAAGAAAATCAGTGCAGAGGTGTGGCAGCATGTGGTCTGAGTGTATTTTAAAAAAAAAAAAAATTAAAAACCAAAATCCCTCAAAAGGAATGTATTTGAGAAGCTACCTGCAGAGGTGAGTTATAACCAGGAGGAAGCAAGTAACAAACGGAAAAGATGCTGAAATATTTAGTCAGTAACCCCAAAGTTGCACTTTATCAGGTGGAAGGAAGGATGTGTGTGTTTGGGGGTGGTGAGAGAGAGGTTGAAGTCAAAAGCCAGGGGCTGGGAAACCTCCTGGTGGCCCTGTTTTTACATACCAAAGAAGATAATGTGGGGAGGGAGAAGATGTCAGTAATGTAAGGTGATACCCACAAGGCAGGACTGGGGAAGCATTAGCAACAATTGCTGGGAAGATGTAAACACAATTTGCATCCTTTAGGGTGTATGGGGGCTCCACATGGGTGCTCCATTCAGGATTGAGCCCTGTAGCTCTGAGGATTCCAACCAGAGCCATCAAAGAGCTCTTTTTTCTGCCCCCATGAATGGAAGCTCCTTTTCAGAGCCAGGCACAGAACCCTGTGTGGGCTCTGGGTGTGGAGTGCAGGGACCTGGGGCTTCCTTGGAGAAGGAGCCTGGAGTCCTGCAGCCTGTGTCTGTGTTACTCCTCAGCAGCAGCAGCATCTGTGGTGACTTGAACACAAAACACGAAATACAACTTCTTCAGAACTGTTTTAGTACCAGTGTGGAGGAGAATGGGAACGTGAGCACAGCTGAGCATGGAAGGGCGTCCAAAATCCGCCTCTGTGGGGAGAATCACACCAGTGCCATGCCCAGGGTCGTTTGGGAGCAGGTTCCACAGGGTGACAGATGCTGTGTTTGCAGGGATGTTTGCTTTACCACCCCTGACAGAGCTCAAGGAGCATCTGGACAAGGCTCACAGGCACATGGTGTGACTCTTGGGAGTGTCCTGTGCAGGGAGTTGGACTCCATGATCCTTGTGGGTCCCTTCCAGCTCAGCATATCCTATGATTCTGTGGGTGTCTGAAGCTGGGCTGGAGTAGAGTAGAGGACTTGGACCTGGTTCTTAACTGATTTGTGCCATGTTGGTGTGGGGAGCCTGCTTTCCACTGAGCGGGCAGCCCCCCTTTTCCCAATAACGGGGTGCTTTTCCTGCCATCCCCATTAAATCCCTCACATGGCCCAGCTGCTGTTGCCCCACCAGAGCACCATTAACTCCCTGTGGTGCCCCTCTGGCTCGGTGTTGCTGTGGGCTCGGGGCTGAGCCTCTGCTGGCAGCCAAACTCAGCAGACAGCTGGTCAAACAAATGTTCACAGGGTCTGTGTGCTGGGGCTTCAAGCTGTGCTGGCTCTTGGGGTAGGATTTTCTGAAGTGTAGCATACTGCAAGAACTTTTTTTTTCCCTGGGAGGGTGGATTCAGCAAACATAAGTGAAATCCTGTTCTGGTCTCCGGGATTCTTCAGATTTTCCAGCCAGAGCTGGCTGTGTGTGATATTTGCTTGTGCAGACCTGTAGTGCCACTCCTCAAGCACCTGAGCTCAGCTAGAGAGGGTGGATCTGTACAAATACCACCCCAGGGCTTGTGGCAGGAAGGGATGGTGTAATAGAGAGTCCATTGTCATGGTGATCTGGTGGAAAACATCTAATTGGTATTAGTTAGGTCACCAGGAGATCAGGGAAGGATTCCCATTCAGTCCAAGTGGTGGAGGTTAAGGACTGTGCTGGGATTCATTTAGAGGTCACCATGCCAGAACAGCCCTTCCTTTAGTGTGGGAACAGCACTGCCAAGGTAAAAAAAAACCCTCTGTTTTGAGGTTTATAGTCTTGAGGTTTATGGTGCTTTCAGGAAATCTGATTGACTATTCCCACGTCTTGGCTCCAGGCAGGGGTAGCACAGATTAGGAAGTCCAAGGAAAGTTGCATTTATTCAGTTGTCTTGTCTCAGCTCTAAAGCTCAGGGAGCTGACTTTCAAGGCTGACAAAGTGTTTTTTGCGTGCATCCGAATAAATTCCATTCAGAACTCTTCATTCTACAAAAGGCAGCAGACACAAAGCACATGTAAAAAAAAAAAAAAGGCAAAAATAAAACTGCTGTGGATGTCAGTAGCACTGACCAGCGTTACTGCATCAGTGTGGATTAATTGAAATGCATAAGTGTAAATTAACAGCCTGTAGTGTTTTGGGAGACCTTGTTATACGTGAAAAAAGCAGTGTTTCTTGTGAATATTTAAATTTCCAGCCCAAATTTACCTCGTTGTGGAATATCTGGACATTAAACTACTACCTGCTATGGGGAAAAGCCGCTTACACTGATAATTCATCTTTCTTAATGATCCTTCTTCCCCGTCCTGCCACGGGAGATATGTCAGCATTAAATGACTTCTCATTGGGTTTGTTCTTGGCGAAACATCTGTGGGTTTGAAAGGACAGCAGGAATCCTGCTGTAATTCCGACTGTAATGTTGGAGTTTAGCAGCTGGGAAGGGGGAGACGAGAGCAGCTTCTTCCCTGCGCCGACCTGTTGGAGTTTTCTTCTGGGGTTTTTGGGAAGTCGGGAGCAATTCCTGTAGTATTGGATGTACATCACATGTCACAACTTGCCTTGCAGCCCTCGAGCCCGATGGATCAGATGGGGAAGATGAGGCCACAGCCCTACGGAGGGAACAACCCCTACACACAACAGCAGGGACCTCAGGCGGGGCCACAGCAAGGACATGGCTACCCAGGACAGCCCTATGGGCCACAGACTCCCCAGAGATATCCCATGGGAATGCAAAGCAGGACGCAAAGTACGATGGGCAGCATCTCATATGCACAGCAGGTAGAGCACCTGGTCTTCTGTGGTCTCTGTTACAGCAGGGAAAAGAACAACAAAATGCTGTGTCTTCTGAAGGGATCACGTTCTGCCGGGTTGGAACCGGTTATTTAGGCAAAATGGCATTTCCTAAGGCTGCATTTTGCCCCCCACACCTGGATCCAGGTGTGATCGACACCCGAGGACCTGTGGAATCCTCGTCTCCGAGAGAAGCAGCAGCAGAGCAGTGAATCCAACAAGGGAAAAATAAATAGCGAGGGGAGGGAGATCCTCTTTCCGCTGTGTTGTGTTAAAGACACAGCTGTTCTTTGCAGAAGAAATGACTTCAGGTCAGTTTTGGCTCATTACATGATCCGAGTGGCGCCTGCTGGACTGTTTGCAGGATTCAAGAGACAATTTTTATTTTTTTATTTTTTTTTTTTTTTTGTATTGGAGCAAGCAGTTTTTCCTGTCAGTTTTGAAGGGTGGTCAGATGGAGATCCCTAAAGGCTTAGCTATTAAAATTTTGTTACTGCCAAGAATAATGTCACACACAAGTGACTTTTGCTGTTGTCTGGGAAATACGTAGGTGTTGGCATTTCCAGTACATTCCCAGTTAACTGCTCTGCACAGGTTTCTGAATTTTTACTTCTTGAGGATAATCTGTGTGTGTGTGTGTGTGTGTGAAATACCTTTGTAACTGGCATAACTCCATCCTCTTCCTCTGCAGATGCCTCCCTACGGGCAGCAGGGCCCCAGCGCGTATGGGCAGCAAAGCCAGACTCCATATTACAACCAGCAAAGCCCTCACCCCCAGCAGCAGCAGCCTCCATACTCCCAGCAGCCTCCATCCCAGACCCCTCACTCTCAGCCTTCTTATCAGCAGCAGCAACAGCCTCAGTCTCAAGCTCCACAGCTCCAGACATCGCAGCCGGCGTATTCCCAGCAGCAATCCCAGCCGCCCCATCAGCAGTCCCCGACTCCATACCCCCAGCAGCAATCCACAGCCCAGCAGCACCCCCAGAGCCAGCCCCCCTACTCCCAGCAGCAGTCACAGTCGCCGTACCAGCAGCAGCAAACCCAGCAATCAGCTTCCTCAGCCCTGTCCCAGCAGTCCTCGTCGTACCCCCAGTCCCAGCCGCCGCAGCCGCAGTCTGCGTATTCCCAGCAACGCTTCCCCCCTCCTCAGGTAGGTCATCTCCTGCCTTTTTTTTTTTTTTAATCTTCTGCAAGTGTTTTGTTTGTTTGTTTTTTTTTAAAAAGTTGTGCAAATCCTTTTGGTTCGTGCATTAAAATCGGTTGAACGCGTCAACAAGTTGGGTGGGAGGATATGATCCGAGCTGGGCTGACTTCTCTTGTGTCTCAGATGTGGTGGTACCAGGCCATGCTAATACTGCAGTTTTAAAGACTCATGCTAAGAAAAATGCTGCTGGTTGGCACTTCAGGAAGAATTTGTTCGTGGAAAGGGTTGTCAGGCATTGGAACTGCTCAGGGAGGTGGTGGAGTCCCCACTCCTGGAGGTGTTCAGGGAACAACTCAGTGCTCTGGTCTGGTTGACAAGGTGGTGGTTGGTCAGAGGTGAGACTCAATGACCTTGGAGGTCTTTTCCAACCTCAGTGCTTCTGTGAATAGCAGTGTAAAGGATTCCACAATGGAATGGTTTCCACCTGCAGTTCTCCAGGTGGTCCCACAGCTACTTGTTTTAGCACAATGGCAGAGCACAGTTTGCAGAGCGACACGTGGGTGGTGATGGAAGAGTTTGCTCTTAAATGTAAAACTTGGCTTTAGGGAGGAGAAACAAAGCTGGCTGGGACCTTTCAGCAAACACTGCGACGCACCCAAGGCAGCTGTTGAAAAGTGGAAGGTTTTAATTGACTTGCCTTGTGTATGTAATGAGGTACTTGGTGAGATGTTAGAAGGTGAAGAAGTGAAACGAGCAGATCCCAGGACAGCCTCTGATCTCCAGGATCTGTTGTAAGGGAAAGCTCAAGAATACTGTTCTGTCAGGTTTTAGACTTGTACTCCCAACTCTGTAGTAGTTGGGCAGTGTTTGTGTGCAAATCTTTGCTGTCTTGCCTCCTGTTTTGATCAAATGTCACCAAGGGAACACGAATCTTCCACAATGTGAGAACATACCGCAGTGATTCCAACAGAGGCTTTATTGCATTCCCATTTGTGGTGGTTTTGTGGTGTTTCTTGATGTTTCAGGAGTTATCTCAAGACTCATTTGGGTCCCAGGCATCATCTGCTCCCTCAATGGCTTCCAGTAAAGGGCAAGAAGACATGAACTTGAATCTTCAGTCCAGACCTTCCAGCCTGCCGGTGAGTGGAGGGAACGGGGTGAGGGCAATCAGAAGCACAGCAGGATAAATTAGCACTGGTAGTATTCCACATGGAAATGGGAATGATGGAGGCTGCCTGTGCTTTTTACTAAGTCATTAGCTTCTGGCTTCCCACTGGAGATTGAATGTAATTTACAAAAGTAATGGATTTGAGAGGGAAGTTTAACCCTGAGTACTCTGCTCGGCAGGTTCTACTGAAAACATTTCATTTTTTGGGCTCTCTGTTTGCAGTGGCTGAAGTACCTGACCTCTGTCAGAGTAGGCCCTGACTTTCAGGGGAAATTGTCTCATTTTTATTTTATTTTTCTGTTCCTTAGCCCACTGTGGCACTGGTGGTTGGCAGCCTGGAGCACCATTCCCTTTCTGTCTCGTTGGATCCTTATACTGCTGATTTAAGCTTCTTTGGTCCAATCTGACTGAACAGTTGGTGAAAAAGACAAGTTTATTAGTACCTGGAGTGAGGAAGATCAGTCCCATGTAGCTCCTTCCTTGACAGATGGAGAATTATATTTCCTTTTGCATCCTAAATCTGCTTGCTGGATGTGCAGTGACCAGTTGGGGATGAGATTAGTGCCCAGCGTTCAGCACTTTTTGGACCAGAGTAGTTTAACTTTGGGTTAAAACATCAAGAAAATGGAGAAGTATTAAAAGTTTAGATTAGTTTGCACAACTTGGTCTGTGCCTTTGACTTGGAGGAAAAGTTTGGAGCTGCTGAGTTCTGATTTTACTGGTTGCATGAATTCTACCCAGTAGGAAGTGAGTGAGCTTTTATTTTTTTATTTAGCCACTGGCTAAATCAGTGTTTGGAGCTGCAGTTGGATTGGTCAGAGGAGTGAGCTGTGTGTATAACCAAGTTATTTTTGCTCCCAGCAATGAGAACAGGTTTGTTGTGAGCCCCTTGAAATAATTCCTTTGGATTGTGGGTACAAATTGTCACCCAAAATACAGAGTGATTCTAGTTCTGACCACCTAATGGGAGTAGTTGTGGGTTGTTTCTTCCCTCTCTTTTTTTTTTTTTTGCCTTTTGGACCCTGATAACAAAGATTTAATTTGTTCTGAGGCCTGGGGGAAAAAAAATCTTTTTAAATAGCATGTTTCTTTCCACTCTGCCTCTCCACAAGTTCTTCCATGTGACCCATCTTCTGGCGAGGAACGTAGGAAAAGTGAAGTGAAGTAATTGAAGAAATTGCTGTAGCTTGGAACGGTGGGAAGTCCTGTTCAGTGGCATTGTTGATGGAGCCTTCCTGAACCCTACTGATCCCCCTGCCTTGGATTATAGGAATTTGTAGCTCTGCTTTGCAGAAGTGGCTCCTGCTCAGCACCAAGTGGGAGTTTGTTTTATACCTTGTGGTTAAATATATTTGGCCCTTTTCAAGTTGTCCCTTCTCCCTAGCAGTCTAAGAAAAGGAATTCATCTCTGCTTCAAGAGTGGAGGAACCCAGAAATGAGGGAATATGTGGTTTTCCTGGCCTTATCACCAAATAATTTGCATTTGAGAAATCCAACAGTCTTTAGCTTACTGGTGTATTTTTGGGCCTTTTCTTTCTTGGTAGGCAAAACTCAAAAAAAGGAGGCTCCCTGCAGAAAAATCACTCTTTTTCTTGTACTTGTTCCACAATTCCTTGTCACCTTGTTTGGATCCTGTAGGACAAGAGCAGCCACCAACTGAGAAAGGCCTCAGACAGGGATGCTGTGGGGTGGTTAAAAGGGATGCTGGAAGCCAACTCCTTGTTTTCAGTGATCAATCTCCTGCACAAAGTTTGGCCTGGGGATGCTCAGGAACACAAGAGCTCCATGGAAGTGCACCATCAATTTCTTTTTATCTTCCTGATATTGCTCAGTCTGTCTGGTTTAGAAGGTTTTATCCTGCTCAGGAGGATTCCTAGATCCCTCTTTTGCCATCATGGATGACATACAGAAGCAGAGTTAGTTTGTGGGCTTTTATTTTTTTGTTTTTTCCTAGTTCTGAGCCCTTTTCCAAGCCTCGGTGGGCACTGTGGAATTGCTCACTGGGAATCTTGGAATCGGGGCAAATCATGCCATGCATCATCTTTAATTAAACATATATCAGCCCCCAGCAGGAAAAGGGAGGTTCCTGCTTTTTGGGTCCTTGGAAAGTATTAAATTTATGTACCCAATGCCTTTGTGAGGCTCTGGCCTTTACACGTTGATATTGTAGATCAGTGTTCACTTTGGAATTCTAAGCAATAAAGGGGGAATATTTCTTTGGCTGATCCATCACCCTTTCAGGAGGTGGTGATCTCCTGGCAGGGACATTGTCAAGTTGATTGTTCTGGGTGGGGGCTTCGAAATCCCTTCCCAGTAATGATTTTTGTGCCACTAACTAAACTTCCTCCTGAGCTCATATGAGCTCTCTGATGGCTTTTAAAGAGGAATAGCATCCCTGTGAGTGTCCTGGCTGTTCTTCCTTCCTGTAGCAGGCAAGGTGAGGAATTTCTATGTAAAATTCACTGCTTCCCAAGGGAGCCTCTGCCAGGATTGCAGCCAAACTAAACTTAGATTGCAATTGCACAGGAGAAGTGAAGTGCAGTCTTTTGTGTCTGGGTGTAACAGAGGAATAGTCATCCTTAGGATAAAACCGTTTCTCCCAGGAGATTCCCAAGTCTCTTCTCCTTAGCAGAAAAATTCCTCCTGGCGAGTTCGTATCCAGTTTATCCGGTGTCTTCACCGTTTGAAGTTTGGGTTCTGAGGCTGAAAGAGTCAAACATTTCCAGCTATTAACTGCCTTCAGCCACGGAAGGTGCTGGCAGCAAGTCTGGGAGAAGCAAATTGGGTGCTGGAACATCCGTTTGGGTTTGGATTGCGGGTCGGTTCTGCTGCAAAGTTCTTTGGAGTTTTAGGATTGTTGGGAGGGATTTTGTGATTTTCCACTGTGGAACGTGGAGCAGATGTTACTTTGCCCCAGTCTCTGTCTGATGGCTTTGAAGGAGTTGGGGGCAAGTTCCTGGTGGCTTTGAGGTGGATGAGGGGTGAAGGCAGTGGTTCCCACCAGGCTGTTCATTCCTTCCCAGCCACAGGTCTGTGGTGTTTGAGCTTCCAGGTTGGCCCCCAAAGCCATTTTTGAAGCATATCTGTGTGCACTAGCTTATATTTGCTTTTCACTAGAGCTTCTGGGATTTCTTCAGAGAAGTTTTCCTACGTGTGGAGCCCAAAACTGATGTGAGAGGTATTGTTTCAGCATTTCAGTAGGAAAGGTTTTGCTTGGGGTGGGACATACAGCCAAACCAGGAGGGCAGATACTGGCGTGGTTTTGGAGGTCCTGACTCTGCAAAGTTATGTTTGGATTTTTGTGGCAGCAAACTAGGACAGCTTGGGCAAAAGTTTCAGAATTCCCTGCCCAGAATGTCCTTAGTTTGGTCAGTGTACTGGATATCCTGAGGGAGAAACCCCATCCGTGTTCTGGGCAGTTTATATTCATCTTGTTGTAGAGCAGGAATACTTTCAACTTCAGTATTTTGCTTTTTTGCACTATTGGAAAACTGTTTGGTTTATTAGTGGGGTTTCACTTTGGTTCGTGTCTGACTTTAAATCTGGAAAGTGTCTTGTCAGTGGCAGAAAGGATTATAACTGACTGAAAACATTCCTGATCCATGCTTAACTTCCAAACTTGCCTTTTGGTCTTGGGTCTTTGCAGTGTGGATTTAACAAAACTAGGATTTGTGGGGAGGGGAGAGGAATGAGGCTGCAGAGTTTTGGCAGAGCCTGTCTGTGAATATCCCCAGCAGTGTGGGGTGGTTTTGGTTTGATTATCTCTTCCTTTCTAAGTCAAGTAGTTACTGAATTTGGACCCTGGAGGTTGTCACGGAAGCACAATTTGAATTTTCCATTCTTAACAACTGGTCATTTCAGCTTGTGCTCTGGGAGTGCTTGAAGTGGAATAAAGTTGAGCTCTGTCAGCTGCGTCCCCTGACCTGGAAATAATCAATGCAACAGGCTGAAATGCAGCAAAAAACTGTCTCAGAGCTGCTGTGGAGGGAGGGAGGAGCAGCCTGTTCTTTGAGCTTAAAATGAATAATTTTGACAAATTTTTTCAGGAGAAAGGGAGAAAGAACCTTTTATAGTTGAATCTGCTGGTCACTTCAAGCCTTTTATTTTTTTTTTTCCCCTCTCCTTTTTTCTCTTTCCATATGGGACTTCCTGCTTCTGTTTGGTTTGTATTTGGCCTTTTGAGCTTGTCTTATTGCTTGCCTTAGGAGAGGGATTAGCCGTGTGTGCATTTCAAAGCAGGGCAGTGCTGTGGGGCCTGGGCAGCGCAGTGGATATGCAGATAAACCCACCAGCACCCCGAGGCTTCCCCCAGGAGCACAAGACCCGAAACTCTGGTGGTAGATATCCCTGCATTCCAGTCTATGCTGATCTGAACAGTTTTTATCCCAAGTTACGGTGATGGGGTAGTTAAAAATGTGGTTTTCCCTGGTCAGTGATCCTCTGCCCAAGATTTTTTTGAGTGTGTGACTGTGGCCACCATTGCGTGGTTTCTAGAGGAGGCTGTGCCTTTTTCCCCCCCCCCCCAATTTTTTACATTTCTCTAATAGTGGAGAGCACAGGGTGCTGCTCCAGAGCCACCCTGACCTTCCACCCTGACCACTCCAGTTCCACGCCTGCGACCCGCTCCGGGGTTGCTTTGCTGTGTGTCCATGTGGCAGTTTTCTCCTCTCCCACCCCTTCCTCTGGGTCTGAAGGGTGTTCAGGGGGGGAACTCCCCACCCCACACTGCACTGCCTGGAGCCTGTCACCTTCTCCAGCAGCGAGCATCCCCCCGGAGCTGTGCCGGAGCCGCTGATGCAGGAGCTGCGCTATGCTCGATGCCGGGCTCGTTTCCTGTTTCTATTCTGGTCGTCAGCAGCTCAGCTCTGCTTCCTGCCTGCACGCCTCGCACAGATTCCCCGAGCCCCCAGCCCTTCCTTTGCTTCCCAGCGATTCCCACCCAGCTGGAAGCAGAGCCGGTGATCCCCGGAG